AAAAGGGTGATACCGAAATACAAACAAAACCGAGATTTGAACAAATTGTTGCATGTTTCCATCTAGGATGAGGTGGTATATGTACGTGTTTGTTATAGTAATAACTGCGGCTTTGAAGTTAATACAAAGAAAGTCCCTTTTATTTCTATTTGGAGATAAAACATTTTCAGGATATAAGTTTTTATCAAATCGATAATTTTTGATATTGTACTGATGAAAATAAATGTTATAAATATGCAGTTTTATTTTCCTTCAATAAGCTTGGGAAATCGGCATTATGCAAACACTGCTGAGTGTTTCAAGATGATTTTTACACCGCTTCATACATCTCGTTAACCTACCTGGCGTGTGGCACTTCAAAGGTTAGCTGTTATTCTTTATCTCAAAATCAATATGTCTGTCGATACCCAACTCATGGCCCAATGATCTGTTTTGAATTACTGAAAAAACGTAAATTATCAATATATAGAATTATTTTATGTAATGTGGTCTAATTCATTATGCCTATCCATGTACGTAATACGCCTGAGGTAAGTGATGCAATGTGGCATGAGGCTAGTACTCACTTAATGAATGCTTAATGCTAAACAGAAACTGATACTGTTACACAGTACGATAATATCAAAGGCATTCCGGGATTGATGTGGAACTCATATAAAAACTATGGTGGATAGTAGGTACCGCGTGGGAGATATCGAACAGAGGCATGGTAAACACAAGTCTATACAATACATGTATCACTTTAATTTAATTAGAAAGAACAGTTAAACGGAGGTGTCTCAGTCAACCCTCCTCCGTATCAATAAATAGATTGAAAGCCTCACAAGTTCATTATCAACAAAGTAAACAATATTAAGAATCTTCAACGTTTAGATATGGTCCTTGTTAAGGCGAATATTGTATGTTTCATGTATTTTCATTAATTTGAAATTATTCTGTCCGATAAATTGACTTCTCTGTCCAAAACAATTTATGTCGGCAACAATGTTGTTGTTTTCTATGCAGTTATGAAAAAAACTGCGTCTTAGACCTTTTTAAAGATAATTCAAGCTACAGATTACGGCTAATAGTATTTCATGAATCAGGATTTTCTGGATATCTTCATAATGTAGACTAAAGTCTTATAACCTTCTTTCCCAGAAATTTCTAGAGATTTAAATCTTAATCTGTGTTGAAGAAGGGTTGATTGCATCGCCACGGTTAAATTACTTCAAAAGAAACGAGACGGAAGACTTACATGTAATAAAGAGCTTTTAGCTATTTTCCTCGCGTTTTTAACAAATATCAGAGTATAATGAATGTATAAAAGCCCGGGAAACAACCAAGAGGTAGTAAACTTACTGGTAGTTTGTGGAGCTACAAAACTACGAACTTGGATAAATTATAAGTGATACTGTTTTTCAAAGTATTTCATAATCTTACCCCTGGTTATCTATTCGCACGTGACCTCCTATTTGTTTCTCAATACACACGGAAGACGTAGAGACGATCTAGCAGGCATTATGTGTACATCTGGTCCTCTTTGTCGACTTGTTTCTTTGGAATAATATTATCAGAAAGATTCGTTCTGTTCCCTTTTGCCAATTATGAAAGTCTTTCTCGTCCAAACAAAGCGAATATCTCTCTGAATGCTTGACCAAGACTAGGTTGATTTATCACGCTAGATAAGTCAACTTTTTAAAATAATTCATTCCAACATCCCCTATAGTGCATGTAAAAGTGCATCCCTGTCCTGGCGAGAAAATCTCTTATTGTGATTCATACCAACACTTACATTCCCTGAGCTTCATAATAGTCGCTTTGTCGCATTCCTGTTACAGTTGCGACGGGACCATCATTAACGCTAGTTCGCCGCAAACAGACGCGTATAACTATTCTTTCCCTCCTCTGATCCTCTAGGCGATACGGTGAATGGATGAAGAGAGTATTGCAGCGAGATAGCACTATAAAGTCAGCATCAGATCCGCGCCATCCCGAGGAGGCAAGTACACAAACATATTCTGTCTCCGACACACATACACACATACACGCTTACACAACACACATGAATGATACACGTCCTTAAATAACCTTAGCTGTTAAAAGGACGTTAAACAATATAAAACCGAAACCAAATGAAGAGAGGAAGATAGCAAAGCACGAACTTAGTTTATCCCCTAATCTTCATTTGGTTGTCTCCATTTCTCAGGTTTTCCTTTCTGTCCTCTTATGTATTGAGAGGCGACGGATCAAAATGACGCTTTCGATATTTTCGGTAGTTTGCCTACCATTTCATGATGGGGGCTAGTTATAGTCCTTTCCGAGCAAAGGTACGATACGTTAACATTAATTTGTGCCGTCGCCGCTCGATTTACGCAGGCGGAAGGACCCTTAACAAAAAATTGAATCACTAGTCGACAAGAAGTTCCAGAACCGAGGTATTCCATATCATATTTACCATATGATGCCATTTAGCAAACAACAGATCAGAACCCAATTGCCGAGAATGTGCGGAACAAGTACCTTAAACTTCGTTGCACTCGTGAGTAGGCGAAGTGTAAGTTTTTAACTCTTCATTCGTTATATAGAAGTTTGTGTTATCGGAGGTTTAGGGCGCCATCAATAAATATTATTGTAGTAGGCACTGAAATAAAATGACTGCTGTTAAATATAGTAAACATTTGTGTAAAAATGGCAGGGAAATAACAACGACTATAACGAATGTGGTAACATAATTTTGTTTCAGTCGTTGTGGAAATGTCGCGTAAATGTGTCTCCATATAAAAATGTCCTTTTCGTTTACATGTAGTCACGTGCAGGCATGTGTATACAGTGTAGCACCCCCTATTACCAATGTTCGATTTAAAATTGCTTCTCTAGGTCTCGGTTTCCGCTCCCCCTGCTGTATTGTATGTCTACTTCAAAATGAGAAATGTATAATAATTACCATCGCTTTTTTTCTTATCAGCAGAATAAAACTGGTCATTTTTTATTTTTCTTAGACAGCAAAGGTTATTAACTTTCCGTTAATACCACACTCTGTGTGTGAAACATGATAAAGATATGAAAAAAAAGTTATTCAATTGTATTTTAAGAGTTCGATGACTGATATCCTATAACGCATGCCCCAATGGGCTCCTTAAAAAGGCGATATTTGTGTCAAATTTTGGCACGATTTTTTTGTTATTACGACCATTTTTGTTATAATAATTCATAAGTGATTTATAAAGTTGTATAGCAAACGAAGTGACGTAAAAGATAATTTTCAATAGATTAAGATGAAACTACGTTCATTGTTTGAAAGTTACCTCTGAGCCACATCGCCGCCATTCGTTGAATTCTGCTCTCAAGATATCTCTCGTGAATTCGCTAATTCATGATTATAACGTACACATGGCTTTTACCCTGCGTCTGGTGAGTTTATATTCTGTTTTGAAAAGGCTTTGCACGCTTATACTTGACGTAAATATTGGTCAATGCAAAGTTAAATCCTTTCATACCATGGATGGTGGCATATATTCCTTTGAATTACTGACCAAGAAAATGTTTATCAAAGCGCCAGATCGTAAAAGTAAATCTTATTCTGAACACGTGATATTACTTTCCCGAAACTGTATGTATCTAAATCTAATATGCTTATTTAAAAGACCCCTCATTTCTTCATATTTTGTAAACCTCGTCGTGTTTTGTCAATACAGATTCATTCTCGGTCACAATTGTACAAACAATGTCATTATGCATCGAACACATATCACAGTTCACAGGTTTGAAACTATTAAATTAATTCGTACACATTTTAACCTCGTTGCTTTTACATATTTTGTACTTATCCCCAGATGAAATCTAACACTGCTGTTCACATTCTTCTAAATGTCAAATGGAGGTGGCGTTGATTAGCCATTTCTGAAATGGCGGATATCAAATGTATTAATCTAAGTCACACGACTCTCGCTTTACATTTAATATTGTTGAAATATGTTACCGAGATAAATTATTTAATTATGTTTGTGGTTTTAACTGACCACACTAATCTAGATTTACTTGATCTTAGGTTGGTAAACCTCCCCATAGGTAGTCCAGTGACATGAACTATAGATAATGTGTCATAACGTAGCATTTACTTCGGTTTCAAAAGAGGCTGATCTAATTGATATACTATTATGTGCATGAACGTGAACTTCATTATGAGGTATGTATTGTGTAACACTGCCTTAACATCAGGTAAAGCTAAATTCGGTATGTATCAATTCAATAGCCTTCGAATTTACATTTTTCAATCCATTCGGGTCATTAATAATGACTTTTATTTGGTGAATTTAACGCTGACCATATATTCTTTTTAGAGTGTTTGCCGAAACAAAAATCATACAAGCCATGGAATTTCGACGTTAGTTTACGTTATTTCGGCTTCCTATTTTTCTGCAATACTTGGAGGTTTACGAAACATATCTAAACATCATCATGTTCTGCCATGAGTCTTATTAATAGGGGGCAAGGAAATCTGATAACCCTATGATACCAACATAACATAGTTTTAAATACATAAAACGTTGCTGTAGTATGGGTATCGCCGTTTTTACATTGTACTAGATAGGGTAACACTAGACTGATTCAGACGTTAAACATATGGCAGGTGAACACACTGCAGTGACATAAACAATGTACGTATTACTGGTATTTGTTGCATTAACAAAAAACAGTACAAATTGTGAACATGTATGTCCACATAGGGATGTTCACACTTCTAATCATAATTTTCAAAATGTTGAGTTACTTTATACGTGTGACACATGCTAATCTAGACTGTTTTCTTATTCAACAGTGTTGTCAATCGAGAAACTGAACACTTAACTATCTGGAGAATGCTATAGATTAAAGTTTGTGTTTTCTCGTTAACATTAAAACGCGTGTTATTTCGTTCCTTGTGTAGCTTGGTCTGTTGCTCCACGCACAATAAAAGTGGATCCGTCGACGGCTCTTTCCGGCTACCTTACTTTAATCACGCTCTGCTCCTCTGTGAAAATAGGGTTATACCACTTGCTGCTATTGCGGTGGTTGATATTGATGTGGTTCATTGTTTACACAAAAAGGGTCAGATCTTGTTGAAGTGTTGATGGGATAGCGTCCTTAGCTTGTGTACTTTGACATTAATCTGTCACCAAGGCACGAGTTCTGTGAAAACCGGAAGCAAGTATTTTTGAAAGAAGTCGTCTACTCGTGTACTTTATAATTTTGCCTCAAAAGGGATATGCATACTGCAACAAGCAGACGTTGTTAGAGGGTGTAACTTAGTAAGCCTGCGATCTTAAGGAGCGACATTATCTACAGGTAAATATTTAAATGGTTTGTCCAATATATTTTAACAATATGTAAGCATATAGGTCAGTAGTATTAACATATCCTCTGTCTAAACCGAACGCTGAATCATCTTACAGACCCGGCATAAAGCAGGTAGAACCCAACAGGTAAAAAGCGGAAACCTGCTTTTATGCATGGTTAGATTGATTCGTATTTACTTTGTTCTACCTGAATTGTACATGTCATGTTTTATGTATGTGTAGCTTCTATAACATATAATACAAACATTGTGTACAGTGTTTTTATACTACATTCCACACACGTCATATACTGCGTATTGTATACTTCATTCCTTACACATTTCTTGTCTTGTGGAATATATACTTCATCCCATACACATTTCTTGTACTATGTAATATATACTTCATCCCACATACAAGTCATGTACTGTGTAATATATACTTCTTTAAATACACAAGTCATGTACTGTGTATTTAATGCGTATACCTCATCCTATACACACATCATGTTATGTGTTTTATGAACTTCATTTCATACATGTCATGTACTGTGTATATTATACTTCATCCCACATTCATGGCATGTACTGTGTATTCTAAACTTCTTGAAATACACAAGTCATGTACTGTGTAATATATACTTCTTTAAATACACACGTCATGTACTGTGTATTTAATGCGTATACCTCATCCTATACACACATCATGTTCTGTTTTATAAACTTCATTTCATACATGTCATGTACCGTGTATCAATTTCTTTATTCCATACAAATGTCCTTTCCTGTGTATTGTATACATCTTTCAAACACATGTCTTGTTCTGTGTGTATTATACGTAATTCCATATATATGCTATGTGTTGTGTATTACATAATTCATTACATACACACCTCATGGACTATTTATCTTATACTTCATTTCATACATATCATGTCATGTGCATTTCATGCTTCATCGCAAATACGCCATGTACAGTATTTTATATACTTAAGTTCAGGCACGTAAAGAACTGCGTATGAATACAGTAAACCATACTGATGCCATGTAGCGTGTTTTTAATATATATCCGGTATCCATTCATGAACTGTTTATTATATTTTTTATTCAGTACACATGTCAGATACTATATATTTAATAGCATTACCAATGAAAATATCACATACTATGTATTTTATATAAGATACATTACACATGTCAGATACTATATTTTTAATAGCATTACCAATGAAAATATCACATACTATGTATTTTATATAAGATACATTACACATGTCAGATACTATATATTTAATAGCATTACCAATGAAAATATCACATACTATGTATTTTATATAAGATACATTACACATGTCAGGTACTATATATTTTATACATCACCAATGGTCCCTGCAGGTAGCGCTTAATAATTGTACCTGCTGCCCTCCTTGCATGATCATAAGAGGCGACTAAATTTGGGATATCATCTTTTCTCTTCTTTCTTAATAACTTTCTTTTTCCTAATGTCTCCCTTGACAAGGCCTCACTTTTGGCCTTTAGTTGAGCGTTCGCCCCTGTGAGGAAGGCTTTGGGTTCTGTCCCCTGGTCGAGACATACCAGAGTCTGTAAAAATGGTAGTTTCCACTCCTGGTTAAGGCTCAGAAATTTAGGAGTGGGACGACTGGCTCGCCCGTTGTCAGTATAATGTGACCGATTGGGGTGTCCTGCTGGTTGTCTTCGGCGGTATGTTTCAGTGAGACAGCACTATAAAGTCGGCATCTGTTCCGCGGTATCACAAGGAGACAAACATGAGCATAGCACAGCCTCCCAAAACACACGCATAAACTACACGCATGCATCTTGCACACAGGGGAGGCCGTCCTTAAATGACCAAAAGCTGTTGATAGGACGTTAAACAATACTAAACCAAACCAAACTATCACCAATGCAAATATCATGTACTATGTATTTTCATCAGATTCAACATACACGTCATTAAGTGTGTGTTTTATATTATACGCATTGTAAATATTATGTATGAAGTATTTTATACTAGATTCAGAACACATGTCGTGTCCTATTTGTAAAGTATTTATGATGTTAAAGTATACCTATAGCTATCCCTTTTTGTCACACCAGGAGTTATGTTACAGACCATTTAAAACTTGACACGGAATATCCGGTCGGTCAAACATAAATATGTCACTCTATTAATCATTATACTGACTCAATGATTCAGAAAATACTAACAAAAAATATCAGGAAAACCGCTGAGGTGCAATATGTTTTTTTGTAGAGTTTATCGGCTAACTTTTCTGTTTTTATGAGAGAGGAGCCATAACAATTAATTAGCTAATGGCTAGTGTATAATTGCTCGTTAAAGGTTCACCGCACGGCGTCATCCACACTAAGTACCGCCTGTTCTCATCAAGTCAGTAGCAATGAAACATGCATCGTTTTTCTGTGTGGAAAGAAAGCAACAAATGTCGCAAATCGTTGCCAACAAACCCAAAATTAGAAAAAGGCCAGCGTCCTTCACAATTGTTCTTCTTTGGCAATATTTCAAAGGGTACAAGTTGTGTAACAATTTGTGAATGGATACAACGATAAAAAAATAAAAAAAAAAAATAAAAAAAAAAACAGATAAATTTAATTCAATCCGGAGGTTTAATGTTACCACATTCCGTTTCCGCACCTCCGTTCTAGTAGTAAACTAGTTAAGTACTGTGTTTTTATGTTTCTTTACGAAACTTGCAAAACTGTAGCACAGCTGACTCGAGCACAACAACACTGTAATTGGATATACACTATCAAACATATGTTAGGTAATGATTTGTAACATTAAAAACAACCAACGAATGGTGCGGGTGTGTAGACGTGTAAAGTAACAAATACAACGTGTTATTTTGTGTTTGTGTGGACAAGTAATATAAGGTAACAATATTCCACACATCTTGTTTAACGTAGTGAACCTATATACTGTATATAGAACGGGTTCATAAAATGTTGCTTAAATGTGTTTAACATGTAATAATTGAATAGGCGTACAGACCCTACAGCATTAGGTGAATTTAGCGATCAACTACTGATCATTAAATCAACCAACCAATCAATCAATGCATATTTCTTAAATTTTCGGCGAGACAGAAACATTTTAACTCGCATTTATGTATAACAGGTACTTGTAAATATCTTAGTAACAATCGTAACATAAGTACCGGTAAATTATACCTATAAACGGAAATTATTCTACAAGAAGTGATATCATAAAGGAAAAAAGCATATACATTATTATCAGAGTTTTTATTATTAAGATTAAGAAGAGTACTTATATATAACATAAACATAACATGTATCAATCTAACGATATACAGTATTGTGTTCTTAGTGCAACAGTTCTAATATGAATGTAAGTGAAAACTGATGGCGGTGATACCCTTCCGTACTTATCGCTGTGTGAGTTTGTAACGCTTGGTTAGATAAGTATCACTGTGTTACAGAAAAAACAGACAAACATAACTTAGGAACCATCCTATCGGAATGATTTACGTCCGTTAGGTAGCAACATTTTTTATCACACGAGAATTTGAAAACGTTTTATTTAAACTTACGTTTGTGTCTAGAAATGTTACGAAGCTTTAAACGCTTATCGTGCTAACAAATCTTTAACGTTACTTAATTAAGGGGATTTTACATGATTCACTGGAAAATACTACTTCTGGTTTTTACATTTGGTAACATTTGTGGAACAATGACGGTAGCTAACGAATGAATACAGAGGGTTTACCCATTTATTAAGGCGCTTGTTTCGTCTGTGATTCAATTAACTCCAAGACGGGTATGCTTTTTTCTTGCGCCATGGAGGAAAGAAAAACGAATTAGTCATGTGTTATTGGGTAGGGTATATACGTTGCTTTCAAACAACGTTATGTTCTCTCGCAAAACTGATTTACATTGAGCGGATAAAATCTACAGTAGGATATGTGATACTCGTTTACTTATATCAATTACAATAGGATACAAGTGTATGTGGTACTTTAAGATATAAGACACGGTAAGACGTACAACTCATTCTAAGATATAAAAAGTACATTTTGTACTTCACTTTAAAATCAAAACTGCTGTACGGCAATGTTTTCACGTTCCGATACAAACTGGGATTGTTCTTAGTCTGTTTTTAACTAACAATGATAATTTAAATTCTATACAACTACCTTTCATGTATTTTTACTTTTATTCTTACAAAATGAACTTTAATGACTTATTATGCAGAAAAAAAAATATAAACAAAATACGTTTTATAGACAGAGCATCACGGTCCAAATTATCACAATAGTATACGGATTCGAGTTTCAAATATTATGGTGATACTATGATAGTTCTTCAACTCAAATCTATGACGACAGTCGTTATTCTGTTGTGACATTCTGCTATGGAGACGAAAGGTCAAGGTCGGACGTACTTGTAATGTGTCTGTACACACTCGTGAATGTTTGAAACTAATTGCAGGAAGCAAATACGCGCAGTAGTGCCACTAAGTAATCTGCCGGTCGAGCAGGATAATGCTTATGTCAGACGACGGTGAAAGAGGACCCGTAACTGTAAGAAGGTACAATTACGTCAGTCAGACACACTCAAGGTACAATGGTGTAAAGCTCCGACGTATTATGAGGTACATGATGCTAGGAAGACATGATATCAAATAAACGTCGAAATGGGTCATCCGACTACAGATTGTATACGTCACTTGAGCCCTGCGAGAATGTCATACTACCTGTTACTCGGTAGATAATGTCAGTGATGTAGCTATGTTATGTTTGATTAGGGTCACCACGCCTGCATGTGCATCTGATTTTATCTGTTAAGTATTCGGTTGGTGCAGTGGATAGTACACTCGTCTTTTACCAACACGGCTAGGAATATTGCTTAATGACGAGTCCTAAATGAGTGAAATGGCCGTACATGTACAATGCAAATAAAAAATTGAAATATTAACATCTTTACTCCGTGACCCCTGCAGGTTCGGGAAAGA